AGGAATTTTGTCAAGTAAAAATAAAGCCATTCATGTTCAGATATCACTGAAATGTAGAATTTTGCCACTTTGAGATGTACAATTGTCGGTTATAATTGATCAGGGCATCTTTTTCACATTAAGAAATATACTTGTGCTATTGTTGCAAATAAGGCTTAATCGGAGCTTCCTCCTCCATCATGTCGAACTACACCTGGGCAAGGCACTTAACCCCAAGTTCCCAACAAATATGAGGGATGGGGCATAACTCTGTGCTCTATTGAGAGTGAAATCAGATGACACACTCATAAGTGCTCTAAATGCTGTGTGTGCGTGTATGTGTGTGACTAAAATGGCCACATAAATACAGCCAATTTGTTCAATGTATCCGATTTGCTGAAGCAGGTAATTTAATAGGGGGAAGGATTTCCTTTCAAAAAGTCATTTTGGGTTCGACTCTTCTGTAGACGGACGTACTGCTGGAGCCCTTCAGTCAACTGTCGAAAAAAGGTTCAAAATGAATTTCTAAATTCCCCTTTTCGTTGAAATGGAGATAAATACACCCCAAATATAAAATTCTAAACATATTTTGAATTTTTAGGAGCAAAAACATTCATAAAATGCATTATAATGCATATGAGAAGTTGAAATCATTCATCCAGTTAAACAGAAAAAATTAATCAGACTTTAAAAGTTTAAAAGCTACTTTAAATGTTGCATTTTTGCCAATAAATACTAAATTGTATTAAGTGCAAGAACAGGGCCACTGATTCCTTAAACATGATAAATAAAGAAAATGTAATGTATTTCCTGTAGATTTAAGGAGTGCATAAAGAATAAATATTACTTTTCTCTCAGAGAGTAAAATAATACCTCTTCTTCTAATGCCTTTTACTTCAGATTAAAATAAAATAGATTATGCATTAACACACAGTATGTAAGAGAAATTGCTGAGTTTCTGATTGCTACAATCACAAGCCGAGGTTTTCATCCCTTTGAGATTGATGAAACATTGTTCTCCTGCAAAAAATTATGAAATAAAACAGTTCAAGATGAAAATTCATGACATTGTAAGTAGAAAAAAAAATGCACAGACAGCTTTAGAGAAAAACACAGCTCACTTCAGTAACATTAAAAATATCTCAGGTTAATATTCAAGGCTGTTCTCTTAGCTTGTTTGATAAATAATGCAAAGAAAAGCAGTGTTCTTTTCTTCTACATTGCCTTTAAACAGGATAAACATTTCAAAAAGATGTTGGTTCCAGCCATCATTTAAAAAGCTGGTTTAAATCCAAACTTATATTTTTCTTTAATCACCAATTAGAGTCTGTTTACTCTGGTTAATAGGCTTAAAAGGTTAAAGAGGTCAAAATTACATAAGACAGCTTTTTTTTTTTTTTTTTTTTTTTGGAACATATGCACTTTCATTTGCAACTTTCACAAAACTGCCCAAGGCTGGCTGAGAGTTTAGTCCCATTTAATGTAAACTACTAATTACCAAAGTCCCAGAGATTTTAGCCCCATGGGTGCTTGCTTTGTGCATAAGTGTGGAGGAGATTTTGAAAAGAAAAGAGAGCATGTTAGGTTATTCAAGAAATTACTCAAAATAATAAATGTAAAAAGATGCCAAGCACCTACACTAAACGTAAAATAATAACAAAAAAGCATTAAAGCTACGAATGCTCTAAAGAGGAGGATATACAACATTGAACAGACGTGGATAGGATATATCATATTAATATGACATACTATTAGATCAGTTTATTCTGAATTTAACAGATGGTTCTATAAAAACCAATATCTGATAAATATAAAGTTAATAGCCTGTGCAAAGCTATTACAAAAGAATGGGGCAGAGTGGATCCCCGACCAGGGAGTAAGAGAATATAAGAATCGTAATTGAAAAAATGACACATTCCTTATTTCTAGCAGATACACGAAAGATAAGTGGGGGTGTCTGATCCAGTAGGCGGGCTACTGGAAAAAACCGAGAAGATAGAGCATGTTCCTAAACAAGCTTAGGAAAAAAATCCAATAAAACAATTTCCAACACATTTCTACACATCCCCGAAACAAAAAGTATTCAAACATTCGAGTTACCTTGTAGAAAATAAGCATGCATTTAATGTTTTTATATTGAATCAATTCAATGACATTACAGTGCAAACGAACCCCTGGAGAGAACAAAGGATTATGGACACACATAAGTCAAGGGTTTGTTCACACCTGGACAGCGTGGGTGACATCAACGTGCCCGCTCTCTGACGTCAACACTAACCCGAGTGGACGAACTTCCGAGTGCTCTGGGCTTTTTGTGTTGTTTATTTCAGGCACAGGGGGTGAAGGACACTTCTCTGTTCTTTATTTCAAACACACCCTCATGACTTTTGCAGCTCCATCTCCCTCCCCTTTTTCACTCAAATGCATTAAAGCAGCTCACTCAGTCAGGAAGCATGCAGCTGATCACACGCACATCTTCAAATTTCAGCATGTTTTTGCTCTTTTTTTTTTTTTTTTTTTTTTTTACTTAAAAACTTATAACCAGACTTTTTCTATCCTTTCATTTTCTATATTCTCTCAATGATACCATGAAAAGGTCCAGACAATGCCTAATTGTATTTGATGTTCTCCATAGTGCCTGTACGCTTCTCTCTGGGCAGTTATCTCCTCCCACATTTCAAAAACTGTTAGGTAAATTGGTCTCTCTAGATTGCTTTAGTTATAGTCTGTGTACGTCAGTCCATCCTGTGCGTCTCTGTGACCTATGACTTACTGGTGAACATGCTACACTCAGAAGGAGGCATGTTTATGGGATAACCAAAGAAAACTAAATGCAGGAAAAAATAATTGTGTCAAACTCTGCACAGTTATGTTACCAGGTTGTCTTTTTATGTTTTGCCAAAACCAATTAGTTTTTATGCTTAAATTAGATGTATTAAGAGAGAATTTGGAAGTTAGGAAATTATTTATCAGGGCCTCCTGGAAATGAACAGAGGTGTGTAAACTTCTAAGAGCCAAAATTGGAGACCAATTTTTAATATTTTGTCATTTTTAATAAATGCTGGCCCTAAGCGGTCATTAATAAAATATTGGACAAAAGCTCATATTTAGCTTGTTACTTTGGAACTTTTTGAATGCTTTCAACATGCTACTGGCTGCAGTCAGATGTTTTAAGAGGTTAATAGTTAATTAACCCTGCAATTGATGCTCAAATGGATCAAAGCGAGAAAAAATAATTTCATAACTTCAAATAATTAATAAGATGCTTTACTCTCCCTTTAACTCCATCAATATAAAGGAAGCAAAAAATTAAAAGAGAAATTCAAATTAAAAGGCAGACAAGAACAAAACAAGGAGTTAAAAAAAATTTAACAAAACTATGAGGGACAAAACATGACCAAAGAGAAAATAAATATGAAAATGTATAAATAAACCGAGGAGTCACCAAAAATTCGGCCACCGAATGTGGATTTATGGTTTTCAGCCGGTAGACATTTAAAACAAAAAACAACACGGCTGAAACTTGTGATGGTGCAACAAAAAGCACACCCAGAAATAATGAATAAATAAATATAAATGTATGTATACACAAAATGGGACAATACATAAAAATGCGCAAATAAATGGAGAATTAAGAGAAGCAAAAAAAAAAAAGAATTTGCCTTTTTTCAGTACCAAATCATATTTACTTAATTATTCACTTACTTATGCATTTATATGTGTTCATTTATACGGTTATATGTGTATTAATTTATTCATATGTGAAATTATTTATTTTCATGTCCATGTATATGATCACATGCATATATATTTATTAATGTGTATTTAGCTATTTTCATATTCATTTTTTTTGTCATTTCTCATCTCTCATAGAAAATAACCAAATTCTCCTTTTCAATACAAAAAGGTAAAACTAAAGCCCAACTTACTGATGTCTGCAAGTTATTTGCCCTAAGAACTCCTTGTGTGCAATGCAATAACTATCATAAATGTTTTTTGACTTAAAGGAATAGTACACCCAAAACATGATTAGCCTTCATTTTCTACTCACCCCCATGCTGAACAACACCCTGGAGTACTTTTTTGATATCTCAAATGCATCTGGAGATCTGGGAGGCTTCTTGCTGTCTGCTGACATTCCAATAATGGAGGTCTATGGCGCCCGAGACAGAAAGGTCCATAAAAGTCCACAAAAACGTGTCAATATTCCTCCATACTGCTCGTCCAATGTATTCCAAGTGTCCTGAGTGGGTAGCATCCAGAATTTACTCGAAACAAAGTCATTTAGAATGTTTTTTAGAGCATAAACAGTAGTGTATAGGATTTTCTGAAAGCACGCACATGCGCGATCACGAGGCTACGGAAGCCGGCAGACCAAACCAGATGAAAGTGCGCATTCAGCGTCTGCTCTGCCAATAATGCAAGCGTAGAAGAACAAATGTGCCGTTTACCTGTGCAAAGAAAGTAACAACGAAAGAAAAATGTCTGAGGACTTCAGTGTTGAGGAAGAGCATGAGTTCTTTGCCGAGCTGAATGCGCTGGTTTGGTCTGCCGGCTTCCGTAGCGTCGGGATCGCGCAGGTGCGCGCTTTCAGGAAATCCTATACACTACTGTTTATGCTCTAAAACATTCTAAATGACTTCGTTTCGAGTAAATTCTGGATGCTACCCACTCAGGACACTTGGAATACATTGGAAGAGCAGTATGGAGGAATATTGAAACGTTTTTTGTGGACTTTTATGGACCTTTCTGCCTCGGGCGCTGGGCACCTCCATTATTTGAATGTCAGCAGACAGCAAGAAGCCCCCCAGATCTCCAGATGCATTTGAGATATCAAAAAAGTACTCCAGGGTGTTGTTCAGCATGGGGGTGAGTAGAAAATGAAGGCTAATCATGTTTTGGGTGTACTATTCCTTTAAGTTTTCATTAAAAAAGGATTTCTTTTTTGTTTTTTGAAATCAATAGACATCTATAGACATTACAACTATAGAAATACAAACATAGACATTTAGGAAAAATACCTGTGATGGCTGACTTGCAGCTCTCCAAGCAGCTGATTCTTGAACCACTGGTCAAAGTCCACATTGTCAAACAGTTCATATGCTGCCAACCCCACAGCATTGTAAACTAAAAAAAAAAAAAAACAAGAGAAAACTGCATCAGCCTGTGGCAGCAGATAGAGTAGTAGATGCTGGAAAAATAAATAAATAAATGAATTGGAAGGGAACAGCATTGTATCAAATGGGCTTCCATCTTGGTTGTCTTTATTAGCTGATGCAAAAGCAAAGGATTATGGGTATGCACCAGACATGTTACATGGATAACTCAAACAGATGCCTCCATATGTTCAAGCACACTACCCTTCTATTTATAGCCTGTAAAAGGATATAAAATGTCAAAATGCAAGTGCAAAGCAAAGCATTACACCAATGTAGCATTAAGTGTTTCTGTCAATACAATAATTTCACTATAAAATTTGATCTATTTAAACAAAATTGGTAAAATGTTCGAAGGCGGATTCTCACATTTGCCTTTATTTTGAAATGTAGGTATTTGTTTTTCCTCACCTCTTTTTGTTACTGGGATAGGAACTAAAACTTTGATAAGAGTATAAAATACTTTAAAGCTGGCATTGGTCCCACCTGTCACGCAGCATCTGTGCTGCTAGTTAGAACTCGCTGCTAATTAAGCCGAAGCTCCCTGAACCTTCAGCTACTGGGACCCGTCTCCCTGATCGCTGAGTGTAGGCAGACCAACACCTCGGGGAAGAGTCCTGGTGGTTCCAAACCTCCAAATTTAACAATGAGGGAAGACATTGCACTCAGTGGGACCTTTAAAGGAGCAGATATGTCTCTGGATCTTTTCCGTGATTTGTGCCTCAAGACAATCACAGTTATGTCTATAAACGATTCCTTTGATTTCATGCTTGGTGTTTACACTCTGACGTGGATCATAAATTGTAGATAATTTAAAAGACTGGTCCTAATCATCTCCAATCAGCTGAATTTGTGCTGTGGAAACTCTTCAAGGATCATCAGTGGGGAAAAGTATGTACGTCAGCTTCATTTTGAGCTTCATTGTGAAGCCTGTCAATACCTACAAAACAAAACTTCTTGGTTTTCCATTTATGATTAAACTGAAGCAATGTTCAAGAATGGCTCTGGACAAAAGCATTCAGACAAATTTGTCTGGGTGTATATCCCAGACAACAAAAACCTAGAAAGATTTTTTTTCCTAATTCAACTGATAACCAAACATGTTTTTATCTTCTGCTGTAAAGCCGATTTCTAGAATTGTTGTACTTTTTTATATTATCTAGCATGGCATGTGATACTTGTGTATTCCATCTAATCTTCCTTGTATCACTGCTAAATTTCCCCACTATCTGACAAATATATTTTAATTCATTCTATATCAGAATAAGTATAAAATACTAATATATTGTTTAGTCACAAACATCTGTTCTCTAACCAATTACCATAAAACTATTGCAGCATTTTCAAAGTTTTAACCTACAGATTGAAAAGATTATTGGAATCAAAAAATTTTAATTTTAGCTGGATTCCATTTTTTTATTTGTTGAAGTATAGATGATCAACCTTTTTTTTTTTTTTCAGCTATATCTCACATTGCGTCTTGTTTTAATTTTTCCTTGCCCAGTTTAATATGCCCTAGGGATACAGTAAAGTTAATTCTTGGACAATATTAGTTGGACATTATTTGATTTTATTTGATTCCCTTGCAAGAGCTGTATTAAAACATTTGCATTTATAGTGGTTCCAAAAAAGCATCTCAGGAGGCTAATGGTTTACTCCACTACACTGGCTCAGCTCTGATGAACAGTATTACAGGCGGTGAAAGGTAACACTGTCCATGCAGCCTGTAAAAATTACAAATTAAGGAGGTGATAAAAGTTCTCGGTGAATCGCTAAAATCAAAAATTTTAATTCTTTATATTTTTCAACATATAATAGAAAAGAGCAGACCTCTTGGACTACACCTCCTGCAGAGAGTAACACAGGTTTATAAAAAACAGATGAGGTTGCTTCTTGATTGAAGAAAAAAAGATACTTTATAGAGAACGGCAAAAAGTGAAGGAAGCTGTAGGAAAAACTTTTCAGCATCATTTTTACACCCTTTTATTATTCTTGCAACACAAAGTTAGAATTATTCATGAAACTAGCTTACCTCCTTTTAATAACTAGCAGAAGATACAATCTGAAAACCAAACAAAGCAGTTACCCTCCTTTATTATTGGTTAATAATTAATCTCCTGGAAACAAATGCTTAATGAAAATAGCCTCTTGGCTAATTCTGATGCATTTGCAGCAATGCTAATTAATGTACACTGTCCCTGTCAAATAAATAAATAAATAATATAAAGTAAATGAAAAAGAGAGACCTATTCACACCACTTAACGATTTGTCACATAAAGCTACCAGCTTTGATGTATTAAGTTGGGATAAAATGCAATGGACCAACACAAAGTAGAGCAGAGTTGTGCTGTCAAAAGGAAAAATAGTGTATTCGACTTAAACATTTCTTTGTTCAAATTAAAATATGAGATGTGTGGCTTTTCCTCATATATAACCACTTGCACTTTAATGGCTATAAAACAATGATGCTGCAATGAGTAAACAGACTTTATATTCCTTCTGATCAAACAAAGCTGATTTGTGACTGCCTCGGAGGTTTATTAGGGAACATCAGTTTAAAAAAAAAAAAAAGCAGCTTAGAAACCAGAGTACTTTGATGTATAGTGAGGCTATAAACCTGTAATCAGGTTTAAAGACATGTCTCCTTATTATTTAATCTAGTTCAGCTAATCCTAAATGCTCCTTGGTTCTCCCTGATGTTCTTTTACATAATAATCCTTGTTAAAAACAAATAAATTCACCATTATCCTCACTGGGTTCACACACAGCTCTCAATCCACCTCTACGGTACCACAGCTTTATCATCCCACAGGGTGTTTACATTTTTATCTACACTGTCAGGGCACCTCTGCAGTCTCTAAGAAGTATCTAGGTGACTGAGTCGCTTTAGGGCGCACCATCATCTGTGTGTGTGTGAAATAAATCTTAATGAGAGGCCATGCTCCTCTGCCAGAGAGGCATGCTTCCCAAAATGAGCTGGAGATATAACAAAAAGTGAAGAAAAGATGCAATAAGGTAATACAGTAAGTAAGTCCATAGTGAAAAATTTGGGATTCAGTGCCCGTAAAAATATGCAATTATATTTGTTTACAAAAACAAATGTATAATAATTTATCACATTGAAGATAGTAATTATATTTTTAAAAGATGTGGATTAAATGTTATCAGTTTTTAAAGAACAGGATCAGGGAACTTTCGACCAACCTGCATCCTTCATTAGCAACTGAAAAGGATCCTCCACATTGGTCGGACCTGCAGGGAAACAACAAACGCTGATGAAAAAAATTGCAGGGTTTTTTTTTTTTGCAACTTTTATTTTTACTCTACAATATCCAAACCAGTTTTATTTTTACTTTGCAAGTTCAGTTTTACATTAAAAAAAAAGTGTAGATATTTGCAGAATGAAGCATCAAAACAATAGCCTTCAGTATGTTCAATAGAAACAATAAAGAAATTTAAAGTTCAGCATAGAGCTTACATAACAGTGAAAACTCCCTGCCCCCTCATAAGATCTCCAAACAAGTGCCATCAATCTCCATAACACCGAAAAAGTTCAAGTTGCCCACAAAGAGTCAATATCTTGTGTGGCTACCATTATTTTTCAACACTATCTTAATTTATTTCTGCTTTTCCACAACTACATTTTATTGAGGGGTATGACTTTAATGCAAACATTACATGATTTTCTATTTACATTATCTGGTAGAACATCATTGAGACTCATCAGAAAATAATCCATGCAGTCTGCATATTGTTTATACTTACCAATGCTTTATTAAGCTGTACAGGTCTAAACATATGTCTGTTTTGCATGTAATTTATGCTAACATTAACTAGAGTTACCGTATTTTCACGACTATAAGGCGCACTTATATGAAGGACCAACTCTGCCATATTTAAAAATAAATACAGAAATAAATAAATGCTCAATAAATGTATAAGCATACAATTAATTGCCAACAAAAAAGTGAGACATAAATGTATATAACTCTTAATTAGCTTCTTTATTTATTTGCCTTTGTAATATTTACCTTATTTATTTTTCTGTCCTTTATAATCTTCAACTTTATTTTTTAATTACTTATATTTTTAAGTATTTATTTATGTGCATGTTATAATATTTTTGTCTGTTTTATTCTTCCTTTGTATTTTTTTACCTTAGTTATTTCTTCGCCGCTGTTTATTTCTCTCTGCCCTTTTTACATTTCTCTATGCCCTTTTTACATTTCTCTATGCCCTTTTTACATTTCTCTATGCCCTTTTTACATTTCTCTATGCATTTCTGTCTCATTATGCAAATGAGGAGGGGGTGTGTCCTAGAGAGTCAACTTCTGCTCATTGGTTGGCTTGGCGGTCCATCTTCTTAACTCACAGAGCTCAGAGTACTAAGTTAAATGTTCTCTTTTCTGTTGCTGTTGTTCAATAAAAGTGCGTTTTAAGATCATTTGAGGCGAGAACCTTATACTTTTAAGCATCACTATATGGCCCATTCACAGATTTAATGCGTAATTTAAAAGAAAATGTGACGAACTTGAGAGGACCGTGGCAACCAGCAAAGCTCCGAAGCTGACGGCAGCCAGGTCTAACCACAGCCCATCTGCAGCGGCCCTCTCTCGGCATAACCGTGTGTGAAGCGTGTTGGTAAGCATTTTACTACATCGGTCGAATCTACAGGAGGAGAGTCTGATGTCGAGTCTGAAGTCATTAGAACTTGAGTAGGGACTTTGCCAAACTTTGCCAAATACAACAAAAAATCGCCATCATAGCCTGGCTATAGACCTGGCTGCCGTCAGCTTCGGAGCTCCGCTGGTTGCCACGGTCCTCTCAAGTTCGTCAAATTTTCTTTTAAATTACGCATTAAATCTGTGAATGGGTATAAGTATAAGGTTCTCGCCTCAAATGATCTTAAAACATACTTTTATTGAACAACAGCAACAGAAAAGAGAACATTTAACTCTGAGTACTATGAGCTCTGTGAGTTAAGGAGATGGACCGCCAAGCCAACCAATGAGCAGAAGTTGACTCTCTAGGACACACCCCCTCCTCATTTGCATAATGAGGCATAAATGCATAGAGAAATGTAAAAAGGGCAGAGAGAAATGTAAAAAGGGCAGAGAGAAATAAACAGCGGCGAAGAAATAACTAAGGTAAAAAAATACAAAGGAAGAATAAAACAGACAAAAATATTATAACATGCACATAAATAAATACTTAAAAATATAAGTAATTAAAAAATAAAGTTGAAGATTATAAAGGACAGAAAAATAAATAAGGTAAATATTACAAAGGCAAATAAATAAAGAAGCTAATTAAGAGTTATATACATTTATGTCTCACTTTTTTGTTGGCAATTAATTGTATGCTTATACATTTAATGAGCATTTATTTATTTCTGTATTTATTTTTAAATATGGCAGAGTTGGTCCTTCATACACTTAAACGTCTTTTTTTTCCCTCAAAATGTGCGGTGCGCCCTTTGGTGCGGTGCGCCCTATGTGTGTTGTATCTGCGACTTTTGAGACCACCCCATTGAGGAGATGATGAAAGAGTGGCTGAATGTAAGGAGAAAAGGTGTTTTTTTTTCCACTCATCACCATCGCTGTTAATATGTAACTCCATGCGTGCCCATCTCACAGCTGATGTGAAAAACATGGGGAAACAAATTAACCCTGTGCTCGCTGTTCAACCGCTCCACACTGGACCCAGCAGGTGCAGCAGAAGCAGCGAGTTTACATGCAAAGTCAATGGTTGACGCGCGTATAGGCGCAGCAAAAGGTCCCGCAGCACGTTTTGAGCTGCAGGAGCGTTTAAGCATCTGACGCACCGCCAACGCGCTGCTGCTGCTCGAGATGGAAAAATTGAAGTTTTGCTGCTGGACGCGCCGCATCAATCAATCAGAGAAGCTGATCTGGGAGCTGACAGCGAGACAGACACAGCGCTCTGATGACATATGATATTAACGCAAATGAAAAAGGCTGGATGGATGAGAAGATGATGAAAGGCAGGTGTATGTGAGGAGACCAGGTGCTTTTTTCCACGCATCACCATCGCTGCGTGCCCATCTCACAGCCGATGTGAAAAAAAGGTGAATCAATGAACGCTGTGCTCGCCGTTATCCCGGGGGGTCTGACAAAGGAACTTCAACCGCTCGACATCGGTGTGAAGCGGCCGTTCAAAGTAAGGCTGCGAGCGGCGTGGGAGCGATGGATGACAGACGGAGACCACAGTTTCAGGATAAGTGGAAGGCAGCGCCGGGCAAGTTACGCCATAGTTTGCGGATGGATTGTAGATGCTTGGACTAACGTGTCTGCTGGCTCTATTGTTCAAGCTTTCGCAAAAGCCGGCATTATTTCTGAGGAGCCGCGCTGCACGGAAAGTGACTCTGACAGCGAAGAAGGGGAAATTGGCATGTCTGATTTAGCGCAGCTGTTTAATTCAGAAACAGTGGATGATGACTTTGATGGGTTTGATTAATACTTTGTAATAAATACATGAATAAAGCACAATCATACTCAGTTTTGCTCCCGCTCTATTTTTCTACCTGAAAACTTAATTCAACAGCAGCCTCACACGGTGGCTGGCAGGTGTTTTTCATCTAAATAATTTAAACTGCAGGCACCAGGATACCGGCAATAAAAGCGAACATATTCCGTCGGCAGGTTTCAGGATTTTAAGTTAATTTAGGAGTAATCACAGCGCTGTGTCATCTGCGATGTGTCTGTCTCACGGCCAGCTCGCAAGTTTGATTAATACTTTGTAATAAATACATGAATAAAGCACAGTCATACTCAGTTTTGGGCCCGCTGTATTTTTAAATACGCAGTAGAGGTATTTAAAGGTAGTAGAGGACATGTACCTGTATATAAAAAATGCGCCCTATAGTCCGGTGCGCCTTATGTGTGTGTTAAATACAGAAATGGGACACATAACTGAGACTGCGCCTTTTAGTACGGTGCGCCTTATGGTCGTGAAAATACGGTAAATGTAATAAAGGGGGGGGGGGTGAATCTCTGATGGATGGCTGTCTATTAACACACACTTGCACAGAGATAATCACTTAGTCAGAACTTGCCAACAGCTGGAGCTGAAACCACTAAAATATGCAGCAGAGACAAACAGACACACATTACTAAAAGTTAGAGCCTTCCAATCAGAATATAAGATGGAGGTAAACGGCTACAAAATGTGTTTCTGTGACGTCGAATGCATAGACTGGCAATGGCAGTCCCAAGATTTCTAAAACAAAAGATTTAGCTTGCAATACAAGTTAGCAGAAAAAGATGAATAAGATAAGTTGATTAAACTTTGCACTGACCCTGTAGATTTTGAACCATATCCAGGAGAACTGGTGTCAGGGTCTGACTGTAGTTGTGGAAGATGTCCAGGAACAACACCTCTGTGCAAGGCTAATGAAAGAAAAAGAAGCAGAAACAGGAGAAGTTAATAAGCTGTCATTATACCTTGATTCAACAACACACCCTGTGAACCCATATCCCAGTAACCATGTTTCTATTAAAAGCATAAATTCAACATTATGGTCAGAAATGGAGTCATTGATTTTCCTGACAAAGATCCCTCAAACTTCACTCTGAATTATTTTGCTATCATATCTATGCTAAAATTAGGGCTGGATGATCTGGGCAACACTTCTAGGTTCATTTTTTCCCCACAGGAAGGAGAAAACCCATAAAGATATTTTGCTTCAGTCCACACATTGCCATTTCTTTTCATTTACAGGTTTGTTTGAAACATATGGATATATAATATGGACACTCTAGCCTCCTTAAAACAGAACAACAAACACACTTTTCTATGCAGTATTTTGCCTGAAAAAACAGCATATTATAAACAATATTAATAAAAATAATGTATGTGTAAAATTTACTAAATATATTATAAATAACAAATAAGTGCTAAAAACGCTTTATAAGAGTTGATAAGAGTAGCACCATCAGAAATCCAGAAGTAAGCTGTGGTCGTGTTGCCCGACTTCCCGACTCAGATTTCCAGCTTTTTGGATTGTTTCATTTGAAATTATCAACTCAGAGGAAAAATCTGATTTTTAAATTGAAATGACCCATATATATGCACCATAGAAAACCCAAACCAGATGTTAGCACAACAGATGAAACAATGATACAAGCGATGGCTGATATTGCTTTGGATTGCAAAATTATACATGTTTAGAAGTGCTTTATAAAGGAGTGAAATTCATTACTTCCACCAAGGAGGTTTATGTTTTTATGTTTTTGATTTGTCTGTTTCCAAAATAACAAAAAATGTTATGAACAGATTTCAGTTAAATTGTTAAGAGGTGCGCCTCAGGCCAAGGAAGAAGCCATTAAATATTGCAGATGATCTGGATCATAATCTGGATATAGGATTGTTTTAAAAGATTCTCTAACATTGTGAGATGCAGATATTTTCGTGGAACAAGCAGTTCTTCACTATACCAGAGGGGGGCAGCAGTGACTATCGACAGCCTCAGCATCGGACTCAAAATGTCCAGAGGTATTTTACTGAACGTTGTTACTTTGTTAGCAGGATCAATTGAAATCTTATGAGAGGATTTTATGGAAAGACATTTTACCAGAGATGTGCTTCATGTCATTTTCATTTGGTAACGATCTAGATCAAGTGTCAGTTTTAGCTATAGGAGTAAGTCACAATTCCAGGCAACATTTGCTGCTTTGCAGAGGTCTGCGCTCTCAGAGTGCATTTAAATTAATGTAACATTATGTGTACGATATGCATAAGTACAAGCTGGATGTATCTGTGTAATGTAAATTCAACTTACCCTTAGACTGTACTTCCAAGAGTCACCACCAGTTTCCTCAACAGCTATTAAAATGATTTTTTAAAAAATGCAATCATTAGAACTTTACATCCACATTTTATGCCCGTTTCACAACAGCAACTGTGTTTATGCTGACTGATAACTAAAAATAATGTGTTTCTACATTTGCATAGTTCCATCTTACGGTTCTAGAAGTTCAAATCCATTATTTCATATAAGATGTTTTCCTATAAAAATCAAAAGGAGGATTTTTGAAGTGCCAAGGAATGACCCTATAAAAAGCCAGATCAACTGGTTAGTTCCACTAACCTGTTAAGAGTTTCAATTCAGTTTCAATTCAGTTTATTTATATAGCGTCAATTCACAAAACATATCATCTCAAGGCACTTCACAGTTCACCAGATCATAGTCAAATTGATTAAAAGTTTTCTATCAAAGGAAAACCAGTTGATTGCATCGACTCATTGACTCGGATGCAATCCCTCACACTAAGCATGCTTGTAGCGACAGTGGAGAGGAAAAACTCCCTTTTAACAGGAAGAAACCTCCAGCAGAACCAGGCTTCCAGCACTCATGACTCACTTCTTTAGATTTCACAAATCTATTGTTTTGAGCATAAATTAATAACATATTTTAAACAATTTCAGACGATACAAACATAGACAACTCTGAAACATTCAAAAACTAAGCAATTCCCCCCAGTTTCAAATGTGCTCAGATTTATTAGACTCAAATTGTTTTCATGAGCTTAGGAAACCTACCAAAGCTCTCAGGGTCCTCCTCCCACATGGCCAGTTCTTCTTCTGTGAGGAGGAAGTAGTGTGAAACAAGCCGGCGCCCAATTTCCGTCAGTGTGGGGTGAGTGAAGAAGGCTGTCTTGATCTTATGAGCCTCTAGACTTTCAGGTTTACTCTCTAAAGAACAGGGAAAGGAAAACACAGTTGAAAAACATAGGAACAAAACACAGTCCATATGTCATATAAAGATAAACCAGCAGTTTTCCTTTTAATTTTTTTTACCTTTAAGCCATTCTTATTTTTAAATTACTTCACCAGGTTAGCTTGGTGTATGTTTATTGAATTTAACTTTTTAACTTTTATCGTATCCATTTAATAAATATTAAATACTATATATATTGTTTTTATCATGTAGTTAAACATATTATATACAGCCATGGACATGGCATTTTACTTTTATAGACCCTGTTTCAGGGATTCCTGCACGATTTTAGTTTCAAATTGTTTGTCAGCAGAATGTGATGTGTACCCTAAAATGAAGACATCAAAGTGTTGCTTTACCATAATAGTCTCTCTAATTTAGGTCTTACCTGCAAAAAAAAAAAAAAAAAAAAAACTATGGGACCAATGCGCTTAACACAAAATGCTAAAGCAAAGAAGAATTGCAGGATTAAGTTTTAGAGAGATTGGCATCTAATGTGTAAAAAACGGACATCTAATGTCTGTTTTTTACACATTAGACAACTAGCTGCCAGAAGCTTCTGGGAATTCAGCTTGAAAAAACATAAGTCTGTGTCACAACTGTAATTAAAAGCAAACAGGCAGGGATACAAAAACCCTTCCAAAAGTGTGAAAACATGAATGTCTCTCACTCACTTTCAAGTTGATACCAAAATGTCAATATTTTTGGAAAGCTGTGAAAAGACTCTGGTGTATCTTTAGCTTCACTCTCAACAAGGATCATCAGGTATCTTATAAAATACGACGTGCAGCATCATAAAAATTCACCGTAAAATAATGGAAAAACAAACAACTAGGTTATAACCAGGAATGGCATAAAATGAACCTAATTGGAGAAATCTCCGATATGAAGAGGATCAAAGAAAGAGTTTGAGGAAAAATATAAAGCTTTATTTTGCAGACAAATATCACAATTAGTTTCCTTATGTGTGTTTCACAAATTGATTAGAAAAACATTTCTGACGTTAGTGATAAAGGGAATAGGCCACATTAAAAAAGGTGTATGAAGTCCATGTATATTTATAGTCCTCTGCAGATATCTGCGAATCTCTGCTTCAAGCGAGGGGAAGTTTATTCATACAGCACATTTTAGTAGCAAGGCAATTCAAAGTACTATTACCATGTATAATTAAAAAACTAAAATTATTAATTGTAATAATATGATGAAAATTAATTCTATCACTATACCCAGATTTGGATTGGTGGTTTCCACATGTATTGAAATAAGCTGTGTGTTAAACTTTTAAATGTTCTTACTTTGGTCCAAAACGTATTACTTCAGTTTTGTTTAGATTTGGCAGAAGGAAATGTTGGCATATCCATGCATTGATTTCTTCTATGCATTTACCCAGTGGTTAAATTGGTTCAAACTCATCAGGTGACTTCGTAATGTACAGCCGTTTGTCGTCTGCATAGCTATCGTAATATATAGTATTGTTTATTAAGAACTAAGTTAGGGGGAGCATGTGTGTAGTTGCCTATTGACACACATGGGTCCCTGTCCTTTATGTAGGATTTAAACCAGTCAAGTGCTTTACCAGAAAAACAGACCCAGTTTTCCAGGCAAAGAATTATCACCAGCTTCCAATACTGCACTAAGGTCCAATAAAACCAGCACCAGGTTCTTCCCGTCAGCATTTATAGTTTTTGTAGTTTATTGGGTTACACTGGGAAAATTTGTCAAGATCAGCTCTACCTGGGGACAACTCTGGTGCTGGACTTAATATGGATGTTCAAACTGCCCTTCAGACAGTTTACAACTCACCATCAATGTTCTTGGCAGGTTTGTATGTGTCATTCTTTACGATCAGCTTGATGAGGTTCATGCACTGAACAATGAAGCGTTCGAAGGTCACTCCCTCTCCAGCAGGTGTGAAAACATAGGTGACAGCAAACTCCAGGGAGCGCTGGATTAGGGGAATGAACGCACATGGATGGTACTCCAGGAAATCCAACAACTATATAACAACAAGGGGAGAAAAGTACAGAAATGACAAAAGACTACAGTTAGAAACTACAAGCAGAAAGCTGTTCCTTTTTATAGTTATACATCCAATTTCCATTTACTTACAACTTTAGTGTACAGAATAATTGTCTTTTCCAGTTTTTCTCTGCATGGGCTCTCTGAACCGACCTGCCGACCTGAAACCAAAAAATACAAATGATATATTTCATTTTCTTTCATAAGCATTAAATGAGCTCAATTCTCAAATGCCAGACATAATTTTTGATGCATGCTTCTGAGCAACCAAACTGAATACACAGCTAGGACTTATAGTGAAAAACTGATGTACTATGAATACAAAGGAAATAAGCTCTTCTAGCATAACTTTTTTATGGTACAAAAATACATAAAATTAAGTTAATTTGGTTAATTAATTTTTGATTAGTTAGAAGTTTAAAAAAACTAAGAAATAGTTTAGACCTATGATTTGATAAAGCAAATATTCTTGAATGTTTGAGTGTATTTGTCATGTAGTACTTAAAGAAAATGTTTCTATGGTCACAGATGATTTGCTTTAAATCACCTTAGAAAATTCTGAGCAATTTCTTGCTTTCAACTCCTACGTATCAACAACCTTGGGAACATCCATAACGCATTTTCATCAACAAGCAGGAACAACTGGATCCCTGCTGTTTTTCCTCACAATACGAGCAAACAGTAAAAAAAAAAAAAAAAAAAAAAAAAAAAACAATAGACATACTGCAAAGGGTATAAAAGTGATGCTTTACTTCTTCTGCTTATTTCAGGGTAAAAAGAGGCTTTCAAAGAGATATTTTAAATGGAAGTGTATATGGAGGCAAATTTTATTTCTGAAGCTAATTATGTTTTTTTTATTCAGGATCCTAAGAGAACTGCTGTCCCTATTTGCTCTGTTGCATCTAATTGCAGAACAATTTAGAAGAAAATGAAGAAACAGCAGCCTACATTTGCAAATGAGAAGACAGCCGAATATGTTAAATATTCTTACATGGGTATCAAGTCCTAGTTGACTTATTGATGAATTCATTCTGAGTTGATCAACATTCTTATTAGTCAACCAATTTGCCTGTTAATCTCATAAAGGCCGTTTCTCAATTCACAAGAACGCGAGTATGGACTTGTGTCATAGCCAAGTATGTTCTTGAGAAGAACACAGAGAAGTGTGGACTCAGGGAGAACGGGAGCAGGCAGCATAAATATGGGTCAATTGGAACAGAAGCGTACTCGTGACATCACCACATGCTTGGCTCGTCTGGAGCTGCATTTATCCTTCTGTTATTAATAGTCCCAAGATAATAATAAACTTTTGTTTTTTTTTCATTTTGTGGGGGAAAAATAATAATGAAAACAGTCAGATGCACCCAAATAAAATGCACATTTTGACAAAATGAAACAAAAAAAATCTGCATCAACAGTAGCGGTACTTCACACACCGTTATGAGAGAGGGCTGCTGCAGACGTAAACAGTATAATGTTTTCGCCTCAAATTATTCTAAAACGTACTCTTAAAGAACAAAGAAGAAAGAAAAGAGATCTTTTAGCTAAATACTCTGAGCTCTGTGACCACTCCATTGGAAGCTGCTGTTTCGGTGCATGCTGGGACAGCTGTCAATCTCAAGAATGGTCAAGTCTGCTCTGATGCAGGCACATTAAAGAGGGAGGGGCAAGAACAACATCCGGGGACTTTGTCCGTTCTCGGTTTTGTGCAGTACTAGGGGTGAGGCTGATGACGTTTCACGAGTACACGAGCACATGGGAACGCACAAGTACACATATTGAGAAATGGCCACAGCCTGTCTTCTTAGAACATCCCCTTCTTTTCAGTATTTTGGATTAGCCCTACACACAGTGTATGTAGAGAGAAGTACGTCCATGTTATTAAACATCCAAAGATTTGCTGAATATTTAATATTGTTTAGCGTTTAACTTACAGTGAGACGTTCTTGAGCATCTATGTGAAAGACAATCACCAATATGGCAGAATTTTACAAAAATAGATGGCAGAAAAAAAGCTGAAAAAAAGTTGCCAACAACAGTTTGTATATCACAGCTCAACTACCAACAGGGTGTATCATCTGAAAACAGTAGGCCTAATATTTCTATATTACAGGCTATTAATATCATATCAAATATATATCAGTTTTGTAACTGTAGGCACACCCACAACAGCGGCAGCATCTGATAGATACACCCAGACCGCGCCGGATGTTAAACCTCCAACCTAACCCAAAAATGATCTAACAGAAGTAATTGTCAATTTTATTGCTTAAGATAAAAGGCCCATCATTCTAAAAGGTTGTAAAAGTCTCTTAAAAGACAGACAGACAGAGGGTAAAGGGAGTTTAGATTTATTTATTCATTATACAGACATTGAAACAGTTTCAAGAGCTTCTTATTCAACTTTAATTTTATTTACTTTTTTACATGTTTTAGGTTATTTTCCATTTAAGAACCTGATTGATGTGATATTGCTTGATTTTTGTATGATTTTGTGTAACTGAATGTATCCTTCAAGGTTTTCTTATTTATTTGTTATTGTTCTTACACTACAGATAACTTGTGCACATCCCTGCAGCAATTTAAACCTAAAAGTATGAATCAAATGACACTTTTTGCGAATAGAATGCAGAGTATATTATTACTTATTACTTTCAGCAACACTAGATGATTCACACAAACAGGAGACCGTAAACAGCGCTGCAGGTGTGTAAGGGATCTCATTGGACTCCATCTTTTTTTTTTTTTCTTTCCGGACTCCATCTTAAGATAGGGGGACTTAGGACCCCATGGGGACGTTGGCCAGCTGTGATTAATTTAATGAAACAATTGTCCCTTGGATTCCTAAAATGCTCGTCAAATGGCTGCTTCAGTGCTCCATTTGATTTATATTCTATCGGGTTTCTCACTGCTGAGATTGCATTAATACCGTATTTTCACGACCATAAGGCGCACCGGACTAAAAGGCGCAGTCTCAGTTATGTGTGCCATTTCTGTATTTAACACACACATAAGGCGCACCGGACTATAGGGCGCGTTTTTTATATACAGGTACATGTCCTCTCAGGTGGATTTTCCCACTTAAAAACATATTAAAACTACTTTATTCCCACTGATCACAGCAAATAAAGCTGCAAGGTGTATTTATTACAAAGTATTATTCAAACCTGGGAACCGGCCGTGAGAGACACATCGCTGATGACACAGGGCTGTGATTACTCCTCTGATACAGTTTATTGACGCATAAATTAACTTAAAACATAGGCAGGATAATAATCTGGATGAACTGACTGCAATGATTAAATTTTCAGGTGGGCTTTCTCACTTAAAAAGATTTAGATTATTTAGATGAAAAAACACCTGCGGAGGTGAGCCCGGATGCGCCGCGGCCCAGAGGCTGCTGTTGAATTAAGTTTTCAGGTAGAAAAATAGAGCGGGAGCAAAACTGAGTATGATTGTGCTTTATTCAAGTATTTATTACAGAGTATTAATCAAACCCCTCAAAGTCCTCATCCTCTGTTTCTGAATTAAACAGCTGCGCTAAATCCGACATGCCAGTTTCCCCTTCTTCTTCGCTGTCAGAGTCACTTTCCGTGCCGGGCGGCTCCTTGGAAATGATGCCGGCTTTTGCGAAAGCTCGAACAACAGTCCCAGCAGAAACGTTAGTCCAAGCATCTACAATCCATCCGCAAACGGTGGCGTAACTTGCCCGGCGCTGCCTTCCACTTTTAGTGAAACTGTGCTCTCCGTCTGTCATCCATCGCTCCCACGCCGCTCGCAGCCTTACTTTGAACGGCCGGTTCACACCGATGTCGAGCGGTTGAAGTTCCTTTGTCAGACCTCCCGGAATAACAGCAAGCACAGCGTTCATTTCTTTGACCTTTTTTTTCACATCGGCTGTGAGATGGGCACGCATGGAGTCACAAATTAACAGAGATGGTGATGCGTGGAAAAAACCACCTGGTCTCCTTACATACACCTCCCTCAGCCAAGCTTTCATCATCTCCTCATCCATCCAGCCTTTTTCATTCGCCTTAATAACAACTCCAGCTGGAGTTGAAACGCTGGCCCCACTCGTTCTTTGCTCCACGATCCACCGCTCGAGTCTTTCCTCCAACTCGGGCCACCTCCCCTTATGTCCGCGGAAACTCAGCTGCGTCTTCTTCACCAGTCGGAGTTCGTTTTTCAGCTTCCTCCACTTGCGAACCATCGATTCATTTATATTGAATTCTCTCGCAGCTGCTCGATTTCCATGTTCCTCTGCGTAGCTGATAGCCTTCAGTTTAAACTGGGCTTCATAGGCGTGTCTCTTTGCCATTTCCAGGGTTGTTAAGACAACAATGTTCTGCATAAAGCACATACCTGTTCTTTTATACACAAGCCATGCCCACACTTCCCCCTTTAAGGTTCTCACATTCTCATGGTGGTCTCAACAACGTCCGCAGATAGGGCGCACCGCACCATAGGGCGCACCCCACATTTTGAGGGGAAAAAAAGACGTTTAGGTGCGCCTTATAGTCGTGAAAATACGGTAAATGACTTTACAACTGCTTTGTTAGCTTCTCTCTTATTTGTATCCAAATCGTACATTATGTGAATCCATTCACAATTGCACTGTATTGACTTTATGTCCATGCAGTTTTTATTCTGTTTGCAAGTGCGACTTCATGTAATGTTAGCAGACGTGATGCAGAGTCATCCAAGTCACAGCAGCCACACATCCACCAATCAAGACAGAAACAGGTGGGAAAAGTACTACACAGTTTACCATGCGAGCCCTGTGAGGAGTAGCAAGTCAGTGAAACAGCAGATGGAATATGATTCCAAGCTGAACGAAAAAGTGGCAGTGTGGGAGCAGTTTGGATTTCAGCAAACATGCAAACAGCTGCTCAACTATTTTACACAGAGTTTTGTTGGTATGATGCTGATAAAGATATTTCAGTTGATTAAGATGGATAAAAATAGAGACTTTTTTTAATCAAATGCCATCAAATATAGATTTTGTTTTTAAACTGATTTGATTGAGTGGCCTGCCACATATCCAATTAAAAACAGAAAAGACACTCTTGGATGAGAGAAATATAACATCTAGATTGGCAAGCAGTATGAATAATTTTGGGATCAACTGTAGATGAGTATGTCTTTAGGCAGGTAAATGTTCATTTGCAGATCATTCTAAATCAGGGGTCTTCAACGTTTTCGAGGCCAAGGACCCCCAAACTGATTGCGAGATGGAGCGGAGACCCCCTAATTATATATATTGTATTAAATTGTGTTATATCAAACTGGTCCTATAGTCACTCTATTACATAAGGAGTTATGTAACGAAAGTATTTTCGCCCTGGGATTATTAAAGTATTTCTGAATCTGATTCCTGGTTGATGGGACAGGTGTTGTGAATTAAACGGTGCCCAGGTTTGAAAGAGCTCCTGTGTGTCGCCAATGTGTGCATTGATAACTGAAAGACACCTTCTGCTTTAATTTATCTGTTTACTACAGTGTGTTGAATTCATGTTAATGTGTATTTAGAGACATTTTAATTAGTGCAAAAAATTGCAGGAGGGAATATTTAAAAAAAGTAATCAACCAAGACTTTCGTGACCCCCATGCGGACCCCCTGTTGAAGACCTCTGTTCTAAATGAAAAATAGGAATGTCCAGATGCAAATTTTTGATTCCCAAATGACACAAATATTCTGGCTTAGAGTATTGACCTGGTTGATACAAGATTAAGACAAATCATCCATCAATCCGTTTTCTTCTGCTTATCTGGGGCAGGGTCGCAGAGACAGCAGTCTAAGCAAAGATACCCAGAGTTCCCAATCCACACACACTTCCTCCAGCTACTCTGGGGGACCCAGAGGCAACACCAGGCCATCTCAGAGACATAGTCCTTCCACCAGGTCCTAGGCCTTCCACGAGGCCTCCTCCCAATGGGACATGCCTGGAACAACTCCAGAGGGAGGCAACCAGGAGGCATCCGAAACGGATGCCTGAGCCACCTCAGCTGGCTCCTTTCGACTCTGCTCCGAGCTCCTCCCGGGTAACTCTTCACCCGATCCTGAAGGGTGCGCCCAGCCAACCTGCAAAGGAAACTAATTTTGGCTGCTTGTATTCACAATCTTGTCGTTTCGGTCATTACCCAGATCTCATCACAATAGGTGAGGGTGGGAACGTAGATCAATCGGTAAATAGAGAGCTTTGCCCACAATGTAAACATTGTTGGTGAAGCACTGATTCCCCCTCCTAAGGCAGCGGACAGTTTGCCAGAACACTTTCGAGGCCAACCGATAGTCCTCCTCCATTGCCTCTCCAAACTCCTCCCAGACCCAAGTTTTTGCCACTGTGACTGCATGAGCCGCATCATGCTTGGCCTGCCGGTAACTCTCAGCTGACTTCAGAGTCCCACTAGCTAAGAAGGCCAGGTAGGTCTCTTCCTCCTTCCGGGCACCAGTACCGGGTTCGGGGATTGCCAACGCGACAGGCACCGGAGACCTTACGGCCACAGCTACGAACCGCTGCATCGACAATGGAGGAGGAGAACATGGACCACTTCGACTCCATGTCTCCAACCTCCCTCGGGATATGGAAGAAACTCGTCCGGAGGTGGGAGTTGAAGACTGCACTCAGAGGGATCCACCAACAGACCCTCAGAACTAACTTAGGCCTGCCAGGTCTGACCGACTTCCTCCCCTGCCAGCAGATCCAGCTCACCATCAGCTGGCAATCGGTTGACAGCTCAGCCCCTCTCCTCACCCGAATGTCCAAGACACGCGACCAGAGATCAAATGACAAAATTATAAAGTAAATCATCAATCTTCGGCCTAGGGTGTCCCGGTGCCACGTGCATTTATGGACGCCCTTGTGCTTGAACATTGTTTTTGTTATGGACAAACCGTGATTAGCACAGAAGTCCAACAACAGAACACTGCTCGGTTTCAGATCAGGGAGGCCATACCTATCAATCACCCCTGTCCCAGTCTTACTGTCATCGCCAACGTGGGCGTTGAAGTCACCCAGTAGAACAATGGAGTCCCCAGTTGAAGCACCATCTAGTACCCCTCAAAAGCTCCCCAAGATGGTCAAGCACTCTACAATGATGTTGGGCCCATATGTCGAGACAACGGTGAGAGGCCTGTACCCAACCCGAAGGCGTAGGGATATGATCCTCTTGTTCACCGGGGTGAACTCCAACATGTGACGACTGAGATGGCGAGCAAAAAGGCTCCCCATCTTGCTACCTCTCCCCGCAGGCAATGCCAGAGAAGTGGAGAGTCCAGCCTCTATCCAGGGGATAGGATCCGGAACCCAAGCCGTGCTTAGAGGTGAGCCTGACTATATCCAGCCAGTACCTCTCAACCTCTCGCACAAGATCAGGCTCCTTCCCCCCAGCAATGTGACGTTCCATGTCGTTACAGCCATAAGATCTGGTACGGACCAGGCCGTCGAGGCACCCCACCTCGACCGCCACCCAGTGCTCTCTGCACCTGACCCCTACAGATACCTCTGTGGTGGATGGGTCCACAGGAGGGCGAGCCCACGCCGTCCTTTCGGGCTGAGCCCGGCCGAATGCAAGCCCCTGCCCCAGGCCTTGCCCCAGGGTGGGGCTCCGGCTATGCCATACTGGGCAACGTCATGGTCCTTGGTTTCCATGATGGTCTTGCGAGCTACTCTTAGTCTTAGTCACCTAGGACATTTTAGCCCTGGCACTCCTAGGCCATGGCTAAAAGGCCAAGATCCTAGGCACTCCTTGGAATATTCAGGCACTCAACACAAATCATACATACTTTTTTTGATTATAATGTAGTTTAGCATTCCTGGTTGATGGGACAGGCTTGATCAAGTGATATCAATTAAAGAGACATTTTGTCAATAACAGTAGGTATCAGAACATCTGACTCATTTATCATTAAAGGTAACAAACTTACAAAAAGAAATTAAGTGTTTATATTAGCATGCTCATATCAGAGATTTTTGTTGGAGGCCAATATATTTCTATACTCTTTTAGGCTGATATTAGATCAATTTCCAATATCAGACTGGGATAACCCCGTAAAAAAACATGTTTAGTGATGGAAATATTATTGTAGATATGAAGTGGCTTTTAGAAAAAGGTTTCAAACTATAGCATATCATTAAGTTTAGCAAACATTTTATAACTGACTATTGTCTGTTTAGAGAAAAGTATTTCTTCCCTTTAGGGGGGACCAACAAGACATCTGGTTTTACCTCAGCCTTTTAAATTGCCATCAAGGAAATGTAGACAGCAGACATCTTGCATTAACCAGATGAAATAGAAATAAGTATGTTTGCTGAAAGAAAAATTAAGGATCGAAGATTTAAGTCTGGAAGAAAACAAAGTACTCACAGCATTCCAAGAACTGTTTTAGCCTTTCAAACACTGCATTCAGGAAACCCTGGAAAAAATAAAGACATATGATTCATCCGTTTACATTTCAGCAGCTGAATCATGATCACTCAACATGCATTACAGAGAAGCAGATATACTAACACATAAACTTTATGTTCATGTGCACATGGGACCACTTTCCTCTATGTCTATGAATATCAATAAAGGCTCTGAGCCCCACAGAATGAAACAGTTTTCCAGAGCTTGGTGTTGTAGAAGCTTAGCTTGAGAAATTAAATGATAGATGGAGGGGCTATCTGTTTAATTCGGCATTAATGTTCAGCTACGAGGTCAAAAGCAGCGTCATTAATCACACATCCCAAACCTCCGTTTCAGCCAGCAGCTGAAGATCCTAACAGCGTTATTGTAGGGGAGGAAGGGTCACAATTACAGCTCAAATGACTTGGTGGGGGAATGATGGAGATCACCGATTATAACAGCCATTAGTTATAATTCTGCTGACATTTTGACAAGATGGAGAAACTTTAAATAAATAATAGCTATTTTTAATAATTAGAAGCTAAATGTAAACTGATTTAGTAATAATGTAAAACACTGTTTATTAAAGAATATAAAAGTACTTGCTTGATTTGTGTTTCCTACTTAACGGATGAGTGAAAAGGGAACTGTTGTAGCTTCTCTTTTAATTACCTAAGTCTGCACACTGATAACTGCTCAATGTTTGTGCAGAGGCATATTCTAAAACACCAAAATTTTTATCTGCCTTGATATCCTTGTTTGAGGTTTGATGAATAGTTTGGATCAAGTAATTGTTCTGTTATTAAATGATTTTCTATTAAAAATATGCATACAGTGTGAAAACTGCTGAAAAATATTTAAGATGGTGCATTCAAGTTATTCATTCGCAGCAATAAATATTTATTAATATTGACACTTGTTTCACTTGTATCTTGTTTTAAAACATACAGATCAGAGGTGAAACAGACAGAACCAGGTCTGACGTGGATTATTAATTCAATCTACTGTTGGTTCACCTCTTTTTCAAGATTATGCCATGCTATCAGATTCAGAGCTGCTGCCTATGGCAGTGAAAACAAAGAAATGGTCCTTTGCAAAGTAGCAAGTCGGCTTTTCTGGTCCACATTGGATATAAAATAGTAAGAAAATTAATAGCAATATCATAGCTCAGGTTATATGTATACAAATGATGTACTGTGACGATTTGTACTAACAAAAGTCTTTAAACTTCTTAGCGAAGCTGAAATACCATTAAAAAAAAAACAAGAGGACATCTTGGATAGAAGTGAAATTATCAGGAAGCATAAATTGAAATCAGAATACAATTATAATTAACTGCACCGGCCTAACTTTAATTAATGCATCTTTTTAGGGTGAAACAAAGAAACTAAAAGGATTTTGTTTCAAACGAGGTTTATTTTTACGGCATTATTCTAGTGCTTGTTTAAACACCAAGCAACGAATACACATTTAATCGGCTTTTCAAAGAAAAATAAAGTTGCCCCACTGTTCATACAGTTTTAGACCACCTGAAATTTTTCAGTCATTTCTGGCAGAGTCAATATTTTCAGCAGTGTTGTTCTCCATCAATGCTTCTGTTACTATGATTGGAAAACAGCCTTCAGTTGTCTGAAATGATTATGTCATGTGTGAAGAGTCTTCTTACAAACAGCTTAATAACAGAGGCTCCAGAGTAAATGCTACAAACTACTGCTGGAAGGCTGTGACACAGCAGGCAGAGTTCAAGGAAGCAATGCTAAACAAAGACTGATGATTGCGCTGTTCGTAGTTAAAAAGACTTCAATTTCAACAGACTGCACACTAGACAAATCAATACTATACAACATATGAGCGCTGCGCCTGTGTGAGGGGGAACAAATAGTTAGTAGTGATTGTATTCCAAAGAAAATCAAGGGAAAACCGACAAAGCTGAAATTGTTTGTTCTGCTGGAAATGTGATTAGTCCTTAGATGAACAAGTTACTGTCAAAAAATGCACCACAAAAAATGTTAAATAAAACTAAGGATAGAGGAAATACTGACTAAAGCTTTTTGAAAAATAGAACCTTTAATCCATTTAATCAATTTAATTACATGTAATTAAGCATTATATCTATCATTGATTAAAGGGGTAATAGAATGATTCTATAGGGTATTTGGTGCTGGTTCTTAAGGTCTCCGAATAGGGTGTGTAACATTGGTTGGGCTGAAAATGGCATATTTGCTGTTCTATGAGCCCAAATGCAAGCCTGGTTAATAGCCCGAAAGGTTTTCTTCCTTTTATGGTGTGATCATGAATATTTAGATAAGCTGTGTGCTGATTGGTTGGTTTACAACGACCAAAGCTGCTGAGTAAAGACGCATCATAGCAACAAGCACTCACTCACTGAAACATTAAATTGTTGATATGGTAGGCTGACCAGACGTCCTCTTTTTCCTGGGCATGTCCTACTTTTCACGCCTGAAAAAATGTCTGGGGGGAAATTTCAAAATCGTGACAAAAGTCCAGAACCAAGAAAAGCACCACCCCCGAGTTGACGTAAACTCGGGGCTTCGTTTGGATTCGCCTGTTTTATGCTGGAAGTTTGGAATTGTGAGATTTGCAGAGAAAGGAGGTGTTGATTGGGTTTGAACAACCCACTGAACTGTCATTATTTATCTATGACAATGTCAACACATACTGCATGTACAACATATACTGTTTTTTGACACGACGACGACACACATGCAAAATTGTTATCTAAGGCAGCTTTAGCAAATAATTAAATTAACATGACACAACTACTCCCCTCTTGACTTTTTTTGGAAACTTTTACTTTAAGCATGAAGAAAATCAACATGAGGACAGATGTTCTAAAAGCTAGACTCTGGACTCCACAGGGAGCTGAGCAAAAAGCACCAAGGCAAAATAGCTTAAATAAGTGGGGTGAATAGAAAAAAAACATTTCATAAACATTTGCAAACACCCACTATGTTTTTTTCCCGGGTGTTGTTCAAGTGAACCCAATATGAATTTCGTGCTCAGGGAAAACTATTTCCATGATATTCCTATGTAGAGAGTGCCTTTGAAGATTTGGGGATAAAAGCGAAGGTAGCATCTGGAAGGGTGAATGGCGTTGTTTTTTGGTGAATACAGCAAAGTGTGAGTACTGCCGGTGCTGGGAGGTACCCAAGGTGCAATTCATAGGAATTTAAAAACCGAAACCTTTGTTTACATAAGCTTTAGGAAAGCCAATCAGGGACCATCATGGCTATGACACTGGGTGAAGGAGGGCAGCAGGTCTTACATTAACCCTTGTCATATGGCATTTATTGCACTTATTTTTCTCTAAGACCAATTATAGCAATGAAGAAATATTCATTTCCTTCTCAGTCCTTCTCTCACACTATAATATTATTTGTATATTACAGGTTCATCAACATTAGCAAAAAAGAAAGTGATTAAAAATACTCCAAATACATTTAAAACACAAGATCATTTTATAAAAAATTTTCTAGTTTTCCAGAAGGTTATTTTAACCTGAACTGATACTAAATTAATGTTATTTTATGTTATCAAATTCAATTTAAAGGCAGTTAACAGAGGCAAATTGTGGATGAGGTTGTATATGAATAAAATGCAAGAAGGATCTATTTTAGAGCAACAGGTTCAAAGAAAAAAAAAAGAATATGTAAAATATATTTACATCCCACTTTTTAATTTAGGGGGGATCGGTGGAAGCTTTGCAGGTGTGACTCATGTTCACTGGGGAAACAGAGGAGAGTCACTCTGCTCTGGAGGAGGGAGGGGCTGCTCACTCACTGCTCACTGAAGACACTAAACTCAGAGCAATCGGTGCATGTGTTGTCACCAACGTCTCCAAAAAGGCAGGATATAGTCACTTGGTTTTATTTACTAGTCTGAAAAGTCACTAAGTATAGTAACAAATTTGCTGAGTTGGCAGCATTGTTCTCACCTGCCTGGGTGCGCTGATGGCAGTCTGGTGCAGGGTTCACGTTTTCAAAGCACTTCCCTCAGGTTTATTCTCAGATGAGGAGGCAAATGACTATTTCCATGGCTACTACGCTCATTGAAAGACAGGATAGAGATATTTCCATCGTATGTAGTTTTAACGTAACCAAGGCAGTAGCTTTTTCCTCCCTAAACTTAATGTTTAGGGATTGCAGGGGTCGCAGCATCTTCACCTGCATCTGTGAGCGGGGTTCCTGTTCTCACGACGCTTCTCTCATGTTAAGGTGCTGATGAGGAGTAAAATGTTTGCACACTATTGTGCCACTGTAGGCGTCGCAGCAGGGACGTCTCGTAACTGGTTCTGGTATTTTCCTTATATAAATTTATCATTTCAGTTTCTGGAAATTTTTCCCCCTTTCCTATTCTTAATAAAAGACAAACAGATATCCCATTTAAACCAGGTCTGAATTATTTCACGAGCAAAATGTGAAAGAAAGCGAGGAAAGCTGTACTGGCACACATGCTGCTATTTCCTTTTCCTATTTTTAGGCGCAAATGTGAGTAAAATGCTCGTACTATACAGCCTTTTGTATCCTCTCAGGACTTATATCTAAAACCAGACGGGTTTATGCTTGCATCAACGATTGGTTGGGAAAATAGAACATTGCTAGCACAGTTGCAGTGTTAATACTCCGTGCAGCGTTCTACGCTGTACTCTACATCCTGGTTATCTCCAGGGGAGAGTGTAGGGCACAGACCAAAAACATGCAGATTTTTAAAAAGTGGAAGGAATGAATTTAACGCTGCAGTATCATTTTTAAACCTAAGCTTGTTTTCTTGCATTTCTCTTTTTTTGATAATATATATTTTTCAGTAGTTTCTTGTAGGGATGGAACTGTTTATGAAAACCGTACGAACCGTTCGGTTCGACTGTCTCGGAGTTGGAAAATGCGCCAGCAGCACGCTTTGTTTATGCTAACACGTTTTGTTTATGCTAACAGCAACACGACCTACATGTGAGGCTAACAATCAACATATACCGAACCGAACCGAAAACCGTGACCACGAAACCGTGAACCAAACCGTGGATTTTGTGAACCGTTCCACCCCTAGTTTCTTGGTTACGTTATTCATCATTTAATCATATACAGAAAGGACTTGAAAACATCTGAAAGAACTGTGTCATTAAATTCCAATGCCATCTCCGATAATAATTTAAGCAAAGAAATTGAATCATAGCTGTTGATTAAATTAACTTAATCTAGTTTGCCAAATTAAGCATGCTAGTCGTGCTGATCATAGGGGCATCTTTTTATTTTTCCACTGTCTGCCTTTCATTTCAAAGCAAATTTGGAATATCAAATTTTCTTCCAATCTACGGCACTTATTTCCAAAGAACCAACTAGACCGCTGCCAAACTACAGTAAAGTAATGTTGCAGTCAAATTGTTGCAGGTTGCAGCATTCCGTTATTTTCCTGTTATTATGGAAACATCTCTTTTTCTTTTTTTTTTTTTTAACCAATGATTGATCTGAAGTTTACATAAAGTTGGCTCATTTCAAATTTAAATGAAATTTGTGATTAAAAATTTAGGATTTAGATATTGCAACAACTTAATCAAAATGATTATTTTAAAGCTGATTTACACTGACTAAAATAGTTTAATGAATTCTAACTTTTTTTCCCCACTGGGAGTGGGAGAAGAGAACAAACTGAACTTCTCACTCTTTGAACCAAGACAAGGCTTGAGGCACTTTCAATCATCATAGCCAATCTATATTTTGCATGGAGTGAATTGAGCTGTTTTTGACTCCTAACACTTCTAGTTGAGTGTAAGCTTTAGAAAAATGACTGGTTCTGAGGCATACAGACTGAAAAAAAACTTAGCTTACCATTACTTCCATATTCTGTTGGGGATCTTGGAATCCGTGGACTGTCAATTTGCGCAGCACTAAGACAGGCCAGCAGAAAAACATAAAAGTTAACATGCAAGACAGTCAAGAGATACAAACTGGGTCAACAAAAATCACCGCTTAAATACAGCAGTATTTAATTCAGACAAACGTAATATTTAGCGGAGTTTACAAGTTTTCTTAATAACTGAGTTCTCTAATTAGCTGAAATAGGATGAGTAAAATACATTATGAAACATATGGTTCAACAATTAAGTCCAGATAATGTTTTGGGATATATGACAGCACCTTTAGGCATTAAACACAGTTATAGTGTAACATGATAAACATGATTACAGTTTTTACCATTCTGTGAGATCTAAAAGGTCAAGAGCTATAGATGGCTAATATCACAACAAAACAAATGAAGATTTGATTGGTTTATGGAAAAACTGTATCCATGCTAATCCAGTTTGCACACTAATCCTAAGGAGCGGTGGTGTTATCCTTGGTTTTACAAGTGGCAACAAAAGGTTTAAATGCTGTAACAGGCAATTAGCCTTTCATACCATTGTGAAGAAACTCTGGCCTGCTCTTCTTTTCTTGGTTGCTTATATCAGCCTTACTCAGCACTTTTTTTAGCAGCAGCAGCTTGTTTAAGGTCAGACTAAAGCATTTCATTTAGTTTTTCTAAACCATTCACAGGTTGACTTGCGGGTTTATTGGAATCATTCTCCAATCAATTATAAAATGACATCTGCCAGTGAAGAAGAAAAGCAACCCCAGAATATTATACAGACATCATGTGGAAATATCGGGTTGGCATTATTTACCAGAAAGCTAAATGGATTTTATGCCAGATGCAATAGGACAGAAATCTTGAGGAATCAGTCCACAGAATGTTAACAAAAGTCTTGGGAATAAAGATTTTTTTTTTGGGGGGGGGGTTAAAATAAGCTTTTTTTTCTAGTCAGAATTCATCAATGGAGAGCATTTTAATCAATTTATTTTTTGTTCTTGAACTGTAATCTCTGTCCTTAAATGATTAAAGTGAGGACTGGAGAGTTTAGATGTTGCTCTTATAACTCACTTTTCATGTTCTCCCCATGTCTGGAGAAAAGGCTCTAAAGGGCCTTCACCTAAGTCCCAAACCTTTGAATATGCTCTTTTATGCATTCCTGAATAGTAAATGAGTTTTCATTTACCACTCATCAAGTACGGATGTGGCTCATGTACCTTATCCAAATATCTGTTAATAAGTGTTAATGGCAGATTCAACAATCAGAGTAAGATTGTTTAGTTGTTTTAGGTTATCCTTTAGGTCCAATTGAAAAACATCCTTTGATGTGAAAAAGCAGTAAAGGTGCCACATCTGGTCATGTGAGAGTTTTGGAGCAGTTACCTTTAAGAGACAGCAGAGTCCTCTCCAAAGAGTTGAGCGCTGCAGCCTCATCTCTAGCACAGACCTGCTGCAAGAAGCAATCCGTGTGATGACTCCACAGGGAACACGCAAAGCTGTATATGCCAGATGCCAGCTGCCAAGAGTCATAATGACAGCAAAGTCAGTCAAATCCAGGTAGCACTGTGGATTTAGGCAGACATTTCAGCTCACCATGCAACACCAGTGAAATTAATAACATGTTAATTATGTATGAGCATAATAGATTAGCATGCTTGTGAACAGCACCTGAAACAGAGACTAATCTTGTTATTGATGCACTCCCCTTACGAGTACAGAGGAAAGTGGAAGCTTTAAGATAAGAGCTGTAAATTATTCTTGCTAAGGTCAACTTTGGACTAAAATAATTATAAAAACCTCTCAAGATGCAGGGTTTTTATGGTTGCTAAACAGGGCAAAGCCTTTGAATTTATTGCAATACAAACAGTGACTAAAGATTAATTTCATCTGGTTACCCTAAAGCCACAACTGCATCACAGATTCTTCAACTGTGAAATGCCTTTGATAAATAAGCAGTTTTCAAAGATAATGGAAAACAAAGTGAAATGAAAACTTGAAACTTTGTTAAAAAGTAAATGAGCAACAACAACAAAAAATAGAAAAAATAGAAAAATAAGATCCACTAGCTGTGCTGTGAGGAGTGTCTACTGAAAAATAAATCCTTATTTTGACAGCACAGCATAGGCTTTAATATATTTGTAACGCAAACTGCCAGTGTGGCAGGTTTTCTCTTTAGAGAGACTTCTCAAATGTTTCCATTTTAAATTCCTCAGATCATTTCAAATTCCTCAGATCCAAGCCTAATCCAATTTATAGAAGCTGAAATAAGATGAAACAAAGTTAGAAAATGATCTTAGATCACGTCCTCCACTGTACCAAATGTTGGTTTCAAGTCTTATTGCATCAGCTGATATGCAAAAATGTTCATTTCTCCGTAGGCTTAAGACTTGATTTTGAACACACACAAAAAAGGTGTTGGTGTGACTGGAATGGTAAGAATCCAATACTCCAAATGCTGAAGGTGCTTGTGTTTATGACTGAGTAAACAACCTAAAGTGATTATATATTTATTAAGATATATATATATAACTGACAATTTAAAGATTTTGGTTTTCAGTTATGTTATTATTACACATGTATGTTTATTAAAATCATCAAAAAGGGCCGTAACATTTGGGTTTTTATTATTAATAATATTTAATTATTATTAAAAATACATATTTTGACAAAGTATAACACCATTATCAACACTGAAAGCATTTTCATTGCTTAAATTTAGCAGTTTATAAGTTTCTTAGTGGCTGTGCCTCCAATGGGAGATGCTATTAGGGCTGCAACTAACGATTATTTTGAAAATCGATGAATCGGCCGATTATTTTTTCGATTAATCGATGAATCGGACACAAAATATTTTTTTTATATTAACCTCTTTATTCCAAAATAAACATTTTAGACAGAACAAACAAGCACACAAGTACAGGTTGCTCATTAACTGTACTGGTGCTATATGAAAAATTAAATGTTTGTTTTAAAACTACGCAAACTTACATGAGAAATGTAGCTGTACATCCACAAAATATAGGGTACTTTGTTTCATAAAGCGCAAAAAGAGACATTTTTGTTTTTTAAAGCCCCTAAGGGGTTCAAACAATAGCCCTCCCCCCATTTCAACAAATGAGGTTTTTTTTAGACTAGAAGAGTTCTGCCTTTTAAGACAGGAAAGTATAGCAGTTAAAGTTGCTACTTGAGAAAATACTGAACCATAGAGATAAAAATAGCCCTGTGATTCAAATTATAAATTGTATTTGGAATAAAAATGAGAGAAGTAGGGGGTGCTAAAAAACACATCCTCCAAAGACAGATATTTACATGGGAATGTGGCAGATAATTAATTGACATATTACTGATCTTGCTGGATTTTATTCTGCTTTACTTCCATAAATTGCAGGATCTTCTTTACTTTATCTTTGCCAGAAGATTTAAACTTTAAAAGCCTTGCCCTCATAATTTGCAAGTTAATTTATTTATAAAGAAAATATAAACGCTGCTTAAGCTAATTCAAATGAAATTAAAAGTAAAATAAGTAGCCAACCTTATCACTGTCTGTAACCTACTAACAAGCTAAGGAAAGCATCAGATGAGCTACCTGAGAAACTAACTTACGTTTCCCCACTTTAAAATGAAACAAACATGGTTACTCATCCTGCTGATCAGCTCTCTTCACTGCCATCGAAGGCTCCAACATGTTTTCTTTTCAGGTGCTGCGTCATAACAGTGGTGCTTCCGTGCCATGTTTATTTGTCTTTACAAAAGTTGCATGTTACGACTTTTTTCACTTTACAAAGGCTATTTTAATTATTGTGATCAATTTGCGCCGTCAATCCCGGGGCATGCGCGCTTCATTTGCAGTCTGGACGCTGAGGGTAAACTCCTCACTAAAATCCTGCGGCTCGGACTGCAGCGCTGAGAGGGATTCTTGTGGGAGAGGGAGAAAGGCGTTGGGATGGGGGAGGCGCCCCACGGCAGCAGCTGCCGCTGGAGGACAAGAGTAGGAACGATACATGCTTTCACGTAAGAGTCTCCAAAAGCCGCCAGTGACACCGTAAAAAGTCGCCAGATTTGTCGCTAGTCGCTTTTTAAAAAAATAGTCGCTGGAGGGGTCTGAAAAGTCGCTGAGTTGGCAACACTGCAACTGCGGCGCTGACTCGCTTCGCCATATTTTTTTTTCTTCCCGGGATGACGGCGGCGGCGGATGACGCATTAATCGCGCGACACAACTAATCGATGATTAAATTCGTTGCCAACGCTTTTAAAAGTCGATTTTTATCGATTTTATCGATTCGTTGTTGCAGCCCTAGATGCTATGTTGCGTCGCCATTTTTGATCAGAGTGAGCAAAAGGCGACAAACTTGTCAATCTAATGCGTTTATAACAATCGTAGTTCATTTTATCTTCTACTTTCTGTTACAATAGAGGATTATTCATACTCTTTGCCCAGTGAAAGGCAAGAAAAACAAACCCAAATAAAAAAAAAAAAGTCTATTTTGGCACAGCTTTTAGCAGGTCTAGACAATTTATGAGGGAGCAGGGTTTCAAAACGGATGTGAAGGTTGCACGCTTTCTGTTGGATAGGCCAAGGTAGGGCTGGGCGATAATTCAATAACGATATATATCGATCGATAGACATGTGGCGCAATAGAAAAAAAGCAGGTCGATAAAAGTTCGATAAAAAAAAACGCAGTTTTCCTTCCTTCTCATTGTAGCCTATCATGTAGGTTTATGCTAATCACTACTTCCTCCCAATCAATCGCAATCGCGGACCCAGGCACGCCGTCACAAAGCGCCGCCCTCTCAAACCACAACACAGAGCACATGAAGATGTCGCAGCAAGGAGAGGCGGAGGAAATTGTTCCAAAGAAGGGTTGTAGTTCGCCAGTTTGGCAGTATTTCGGTCATGGCAAGTCGGACAAAAAACAAACCAGTCATCTGTAAAATGTGTCGGGAACCAGTGAAAACCAGTCTGATAACACAACCAACTTTTTTTTTATCATCTCAGCCGCTCACACCCGCAGGAGCACGAGCTGTGTAGGCCACGGCGCGCATCTGCGTCGTCGTCCGAGGAATCTTCGGGAATTTCGGGAAAATATATATATATTTTCAGTTCTGGGCAGTTTCCCACGTAGTTCTAACGAGTGAGAGAAAAATGCTGAGGGGCCAGAAACTTCAAAGTAATAACTCAGGTTAAAGCAGGAAACTGAGCCGAACCAGGTTCAGCTTAGAAGAATGCGGGCGGGCGGGGGGCGTCTATTTATTTATTTGTTATATTTATTTTGGTCACTTTTCTGGTCACTTTAGTTTATTCTTTGTCAGTATTTAATAACATAACTCAGGTCTTTTAAGTTATTTTTCTTTAAAACAATTCTGTTATGGTTAAAAAAGTTGGTTAAATAAATATTTAATCGGAAGTCGGTGTTTGTGTTCTTTATTAAAATTAAATCATTTAGCAATATCATAAAAAGTCCAGGCAGAGCTGCACATAAAATATGGTTTCACATCTTTTCAATAATTATCGATATCAATCAATATGCATATTTTTTTATCGATAAGCTTTTTTTCTATATCGCCCAGCCCTAGGCCAAGGTTATTCAATAAGAGCAAAGTTTATAAGGGCTTTATGTAAGAAACGGGGTATCCAGGGTGGTCTAAGAACTAGCCTGCCCCCCAAAAGGAAACCACTAGTTCAGGGGTGGCAAACTGGTTCCAGAAAGAGCCGTGTGGCTGCAGGTTTTCTTTCCAACCAAGCAATGGCACACCAGACTCCATTCATCTCATCAAGTGAGTCCAATCTGAACATGATGACTTGATGAGATGAATGGAGTCTGGTGTGCCATTGCTTGGTTGGAAAGAAAACCTGCAGCCACACGGCTCTTTCTGGAACCAGTTTGCCACCCCTGCACCAGTTTCTTGTTCAGCTCTGTTTTCAGACAGCCTTTCGTATAAATCATAATCTATTTTAGCTGAATATTTCAAGGGTGATTAAGTTGGCTCTGTCCTCCCATTAGAGACAGCTAGTTTGCCTGTTTGCCCACACTGAATGAGCTACAATGCAACAGTTATCAGCTGCTGTTGTTCTTCAAAGTCATACCAGCAAACCAGCTTAGCTTCTATAGTCCTGATTTTAGAGAAATGTTCCACATGCTTAATTGTTTATTTTAGCTGATTAGACAAGGGTGACCGGGGTTAGTGTGTCCCCTTTATTCAGAAAGAATGTCACTCTGCAGCTTCCGTAGCAGTTCCAGAGCGTATTATACAGTCGTTTGAAACTCAGTGAACAACTAGATGGAGGCAAATCTAACTCATTCAAACATTCAAATTAAATTGAATATGATATCATTTGGAAAAAAAATTAATGAGCCTTTTAATTCTGGCTGTGATATAAAGCATATTAACCTGATGAAAATATATCATCTTTGAAAAGAAAATGTGAGCAAATCATAGCTCTACAATCATAAGGGAAACACTAAACACACAGACATGAGCAAAAGAAATTGAGTTTAGTTAAGACAATTTTGGGACAAAAAATTAAATCAATGA